ACCTACGGAGTACTGGTAGGCTGGTGAACAGCAGTTATTATTAGCGGCTCGATCCCTCTTGCCGTGCGGGTCATTGTCGCTACACGGACATTGCTGCAACGCCGAGTTTCATAAAATGAATTCCTCAAGATCAAGAATGCATTCCCCCTAGTGTGCGTCTGCGCTTATGGCTTGCTTTTTAGACATCTAGTTTGCTGTGCTGGTGAGTCTTAACCGCTGATCGCATGAGACTTTGCTGCTGCCTGATAAGAGAAACCCGGCTGGTGACACGCTGCACAGTAGCCAGCCCTAGGATCTATAATGGGCGTTGTAAAGGCGTTGCCTCTCAAAAACAAGTCAAGACCTTTAATTGAGCAATCGTCTTTATCTGCCATCATCTCGGTACCATCCGAGCGCCTTTATTATTATCCTCAATGTCATTGGGCCACAGCGCCTTTCAGCAATGCCTCGTTAGGTAATCCCTGTCCATTCAGTGGAGAATCTCCAAGCCCAGTCCTTCCCTTCCCGCCAACGACATGTCATTCTTTTTTAAACAACCGACAACCCACCATCGCATCATCGCATCAATCTACCCTACTACCAGTTCGGAGCACAATGCCGTCCGACGACTACGCCCTTTCTGGCGGCGGCGGCGGCGCGCTGAAGCTCAAAGGCGCCAAGGTCGACAAGAAGAAGAAGAAGAGGCGCGCCAAGACGGATCTTGAGAAAAACTTGGCCACCGGCGAGGGTGCATCCCCCTCCAAAGAGCTCGTTAAGAAGAAGCGCAAGGAGGGCGAGGAGGAGGATGGCCAGGCGGCAGAGGACAGAAGGCAGGTGGAGGAGGAGGATGACGTAGCGCCAGTACAAAAGACAGAGTCGGAGAGGCAGTACGAGGAAGCGAAAAAGAAGAGAGTATGTTCACTCACGCCCACGCTGAATGATTTTCCATGTCACCTTCTCTCCGTCCGTTGTTTGTCTTTTTTGTCTGTTCTGCTCGTTCTCAACCTTGACTATTCTGTCTGAACGCACATTCTAACTCTCACAGCTACTTAAAATGGCTGAAAAGTCAGGCTCCCGTCCCGAACTTCTCAAGACGCATAAGGAGCGCGTTGAACAACTCAACACCTACCTGTCCAAGCTCAGCGAGCATCACGATATGCCCAAGATTGGACCTGGTTAGGTTTTAAAGCTGTCGAGATGATCATAATTTCTATTCGGGTACACACCTCGGCGTTTGGAGTGGTCGCTTTAGATTTCAATACACACGTTACAACAAGCTACATCTGGTCATACCCCGTGCATTTGCAATTTGGTCTATGGACATTATGATCGTCAGTCGGTATAGCCGGCTGTGTTCGGCACCCATCCAATTCTAGCTTTTCGCGATCCCAATAATTCGAACCTTAACTATGCGATGAACAAAAAAAATGCTTTGACGCCGTAAATACTCAATACCCGTTAAATGATTATCCTTCGCTTGAAATGTCAGGCACACGGTCCTCCACTTATAGCATCATTGCGCCGGCAACAACGCCAGCTATGGCAGCAGCCGCGACACTGCCAGCGCCACGGCTGTTGGCGACGTTTTGCAGGCTGGGGTCGGCCTTGTCAGTCGACGAGGGGCGAATTTCAACCCAGGAAGTCGACGTAATTATCTCGATGCCCCCATCACCGTTGGTTCGGGTGATTGTCTCCTGTACAGCGCTCGAGGTAGTCACGGTGCCGGTGGTGATGGTGCGACGAGGAGTGGTCTCGGGGGATGAAGTAGTAGACTCGGCTGTGCAAATGTTAGTGTTGGGCAATTGACTGAAATAGTACGATAGATGACGAATATGAAAGTGAGATATGCGAGTGTTTTAATTCTTGTTCTCAAGGATCAAGGATCAAATGTCTCTGTAGGCCGAAGCACTGCAAATAGCCACCAAAATGAGACACGAGGAAACGATCTGTAAAATGGCACGAGTGCATGAAGGGGGACTGTATAGTGTGTAGTACGACCAGACACTGGACAACGTAAGAGATATAGGAAGGAGTGCATGGCGAAAGGAACAAGCGAACGGGATACAAAGCCAGAAAGGGTACAAAGACAGACGCAGCACACTGACGTGAATCGGAGGAACCAGTCTCCTGAGGCAATGGATTGGTAGACTGTTTCAACGAAGGAGTAATTCCAGTAGAGGCTGAAGCCGAAGCACTTGGAGAAGGTTCTGGGGGAGAATTATGCTGAGAAGGGGTTGGGGAGGAAGACTGACGTGGAGCATCAGGAGATGAAGGAGATGAAGGAGATGATGGAGATGATGGAGAAGATGGAGATGGAGGAGCCGAAATCGACGGCTGCTCCGAAAAAGAAGAAGTAGACTGACGTGAAGGAGAAGATGAGGATGGAGAGGGGGGGACAGGCACAGACGATGCTGGTACAGACGTACCAGATGAGAAAGTAGTTTGAGGATTAGAAGAAGAAGAAGCAACTTCGGTGGTAGAAGCTGTAGGAGACGTACCCGAGGAGGGGACCGGAGCAGGGGTCGAAGGCGAGGCGGTTGGGGTGCTGGCGGGGGGTGCCTGGGAAGTTGGGACCGACGTCGTCGGGTTGCTGGGAGTGGCCGGCGAAGATGGTGTGGAAGACGGAGGCGGCGGAGGCGGCGGAGGCGGCGCCGACGAGCTAGGAGGCGACGAGGCAGGCGGTGAAGATCCGGGCTCCGAGGTACCAGTAGAAGAGCTGCCAGTAGGATTGCTGCCGCTGGTAGGTTGATGTACCGTCTCGGTGGTCACGGCCGTCTCTGTAACGGTGTTGCTGATGGTTTGGGTGACGCCACCGGCTGGAGTGTGTTAGTATAAGCTGAAGACTGGAGGAGCGAGATGCAGTTGGCCGGGTGGATGTGGACAGAGTGGCATCCACGATGAATTGGACCAAGAACACGTGCAAGAACAACTTACTGGTCTGCTGGTTGCCCTCATTGCCCTGGTTCGTAGGAGGAGTCGTGGTGTTGCTTCCGGGCGCCTGGCGCTTGTCCAGTTGAACAGCGCGGTGCTGCATAGCACCAGGGCAAGATCCTCCAGCAGCGGCCAAGCCCATCAGGGCCACCAGGCCGATGAGGGCAATGACAAGAAATCGACGAAGGGGCGACATTTTGCGGCTCTCCTGCTGTCCGGGGCACGTATCCGGGATTCCTGGGGTGCGGTCTCCGAAACCTCTTGCTGAAAGTTGCGACTTTTCTTCTTCCTGTTGCTGCTTTCTCAATAGTCCGGCCTCCAGGGTGGAGTCGTGGTGCATGTCGGAGGACATTCTGTATATATAAGACGCGGAGAAAGAAGAGAGAAGAAGAGGCAGCGGAAGTAAGTAGAGTTGAACGAAGGAGGGTGTAGAGAAAGCAAGGCTGGGGCGGGAAAAAGCGGTCCCGAAGAGGTTTCGGCTTGCCTCAGACAGAGACAGCAGGTTTGCGTGCAGATGATGTGCAGTGGTGGTGTGTGTGTATAGCTCGTGCGATGGCAAGGAACGCTGAAGCCAGATGCGTAGGTTTTTGAATGACGACAAGGCCGAGTGGGCTGCAGGGCGCAAAGCTAAATGTGGTGCCTATTCTGTTTGGAACTTGGCAGACACGAGACGGCAAATGTGGGCAAGCGAACTGCACAAGTCAAGAAGACGGAGGCGTTTGATAGGCAGAGAGGTGAGTTTATCAGAGCGACCTTGTGGGGGATGGTCGGGAGTGCGGCAAGCCTGGGCAGGGTGGAAGACGATAATTGGATAATTGAAGAGAAGGAGGTAATAGAAGAGGAGAAAGAGAAACTAGGAAGGTGGGAAAAAATAAAAGAAGAGGAGAGTGAGGACGAGGAGTAGCGCGATGTAGACAAGAGAGATGCAGGCAGGCAAGCAGGCAGGCAGGCAGATGCGTTTGCCAGAGATGGGCTGTGGTGGACTGGTGGTGCCCGTTTACTTGGTTGCTTGGCTGGGCCAGCTGGCTGGCAACAACTGGCAAACTGGCAGGTCGAGATGCTCCGCTCTCGCTGCAGGTGGCAACGGGTCAAGTTTACTGGGACGATGGGGCAGCCGGCCTTTCTTTTTCTTTTTTTTTTTTTTCTGTTTTTTTTCGTTTTATCTCCTCGGCTCGGTTCCTTCCCACAGAGGGGCCGTGTTGCGTCAATGTCGATGGAGCCTCTTACACGAGGTGGCTAGTTAGAATGTGGAAAGGTTATCGATCCAAAGGCGAAGAGAGGACGTAGTGACGGTGCTGTGAAAGGGCGGTGCACAGTAGCTGGAATCAGAGACTGTGGCAGCCAAAGACGACAAATATATATATATACGGATACGTGAACAGCTAAAAAAAGAAGTAAGCGTTGGATGATAATACAGGCTGGACACATTCTATTTTAATCTTGTCAACAATGCCATGGGATGGGTGCAGCTACTAATAATTAGGCCTAATAATTAGTACCTTCCTATGGATTTCACATATCTCAGTGGCCGAGCCTTTTTTTTTTTTCTTCTTCTTCGGACCCGCCTTACAACCATGGTGGCTGCACAAACGTGGTCTCTCTGGGGGTTCACGTCTGCTAATAATACTGAACTGTCTCATCACATCTTCTTTGCCAGTATCTCAATTTGCAGCTACTTGTCGATCTAATTTAGCACTGATTCGACTCAGAGGCCAACAAGTTTTTCCACCACATCGCTACCTAAGCTGCCTTGGGCCTGGTGTCGCAGGCAGTGGGACAGCCCAGCGTCAGCCAAGCCACCCAGTGCCTTGGAAAAATACGAGACGGCAACAAACCATCTCCAACCTCTCATCCCGCTCAACCCCGCTAGCGTCTAGCTAGAGCTTGTCCTGTGAAACCACCATAACTACCTAGGTACTTTGTGATTAGTTATTCCACCGTCACTGCGGGTTACAACGCACGAGCAAGTGGCCATGTCAACCGTCTTGCTGCACAACATGACTTGCAGGGGCTTGATGCGCAGAGGCACTTGATTAGGGCCCGCAAAGTTCCATCGCGGGAATCCTACCGGAACAAACGATGAAGGAAAAGACTATCGCTTTGCGTTTGAGCTATCCACTTTGTGCTACTCAACAGCAGTCTGCCTCTCAATTCTGTTGCAAATCTTGCCGGATGTCATGGCCCGATGCACTAGGTAGCGATCCGTGGGCTCGCTGCGCCGCTAGTCGCAGTCTCAGCCATTGCTGTTCCTTGCCTGTTTCGTTGGTTCACGACTTTTATTACAAGTATTCAAATTATTGAATTATAAATGGTAAGCAGAAATTCGGTGGCTCCCTGTCCTGGTCAACCTAGCAAGTAGCAACCTGCTGCTATAGGCGGTCGACCTGTCACCCTGTTGCTTGTCATCAAGCAACGCCCGGGCAACATCCGCCAAATCCGCCCAGCCTTTGCTTCAGTTTTGTCACCGACCTCTGCATGAATTGGCTCCAGCTCGCTTCTTCATCATTCAGCTCGACCGGCCACGGCGGCGGACCGTGCCCACACTGGTGGACAGCATGACAAGCGTGGTGGACAGCGTGGTGGTGCTGTGGACTGCCTCGACGCCGTGACGAACCCAGCGTGCTTCAGCCATCAGCTGATAGGTCCGTATAAAAAGCCAGCTTATCCCTTGGCTGCTGGATTGATGAGCCTATGCGCTTGAGGCTCTGCTCTGGCAACTCGCTATCCCACTTCCGTTACTAGGTTGGCTGAACCCCGTCGCCAGCCTTCTCTATCAATAGCAATGCCAGCACAGCCAAGCTTCTGCTGCGCCTGCCTCCCTTGCAGGGCAGCGACGGCTGGCTCGTGGTAACCAATTATTGACGCGGCGTCTCGTGAAATTTTTGCCGACACGCGCCTTTACTCGTCTTTTGCCTCTTTCTGGCCACCATTGTATCATCATTTTACGGGCCCAACACTCTCCTCATTGACCTGTGCCTACGGAGTACACCATGCAGAGATCGCTGATGAAAGTTGGTGGCTGGTGAGACATTCTCTGACAGCACTTTTGTGAATAGCCTTGTGCACCAATCTGCGCCAATGTGGGCTCGCAAAGTGAAACATCCCATCTGCCCCCGTAACCCATTTTTGCATTATTTCCTTAGGTCGCCTTGGCGAGCATAAATGCTGAAAGACGAGATAAAGTTGCAGTCCGGAGACCTCGCGCCCGACAGGAAAGGCCGGTTGAGGAAAATAAACTCGTTTCGTGTCCGCATCGTCTGTGCACAACGACATCCTAGCTGATCGTTTTGCATCATGACATGTTAGAGACACGCCCGTATATACAAGATGTTTATAATGCCTCCGCATGCTGTGCTATGCGTTTATTCAGCAGCTGCTTTCACCCTGCAATGCGGCACGTCATCATTCGCGATTCTACTTGAGTGGCTTGGATATTTGGCACTGGCGGCAGCTTCGTCCCGGGACTACCAATAAAATTGCAACTATATACCTTGCTATTGAACACTGAAATAGTTGGGGCTACTTGCTCAACTCTGTCCCGCCTGTTCGCCCGTGTTTAAGCCACTGCAGCAGATAAATTCAGCTCTCTATCCGTAACGGCAACCCACTAGTTACTGCTGCCACCGAAGCTGCCGAGCACACACAGCCAAAACTGTGTTTTTCGATAGATTCTGACTGACGATCCGCTTTGCCGAGAGAACCGAGAGAACATAGGTAAAAAAGTTGCGCCTCTTTTGCATCTGGTGGGCCGCCGCCTTCGCTGCTGCTTCGAGATCCACTGCTCCATCCAAAAAGCTTCGACATGGTCTGATATAGCATCTTCGATGTGTATGCAGCCTTGACGGCTCGCCATTCCGTGCTTTACATTGCACATGTGATATTGATATTGATTTTGACAGAGAACCTCCAGAGGGAAATTTCTATACGATCTCAGCGACTTTCAAGTGTTGATATGGCGGACAATGCTCGAGGCAACAGATTTATCCACGTGATACATACCTAGGTACTCAACCCGCTGCGATGCGCGTCGTTGTGGCGCCGACAGACCCGCGCCGTCATCAGCACTTGACGTAGCCCTTACCCAAACCGTGCTGCTTTCCATGTGACGCTGCAGCTCTCTCCTTTTTTCCTCCTCGGCCGACGTCCAGCTCGCACAGAACGACCTATGGCCAAATCATCGAAAACATTCTATTAGAACGTGCATGCTGATTGCAATTGACCTCCCGTCACATGGTGGAATCGAGTCGCCGTCAGCTGTGTACGCCATGGCTGAGCCAGGGAAGCTCCGCGACCCTTCAAACAGAACCTCACCACCTCCCGTCGATACGTCGCCCTCCGCTATGGGCGAGCCCAACCCCAAAGATCTGCTCGGCGGCGTCGAGTTTGACGAGCAAGTCCACTTGCGCGCGCTGAACCGCTCGCCGCACCCCTACCACCGCGGCCAAAACGAGATACCCAGCGACTACGACCGCCTGGCGCCCCCCGCGGCTATGGCACGCCAGGGACAGCTATCGCCCATACGCGCGACTGCGTTCTCCAAGGATTCGACGCCCGTCAGCGACAGCGGCACCGAGGCAGACGACGAGCACTTCCTGCGCGGCCTGCCGGCGCCCAAGACGAAGCTGCACAAGGGGCTGCGGGGCCGCAACGAGGCGCTTTCGGGCACGGCGACGCCCATCTCACCGTCCATCATAGAGGAGGAGGAGCGGGAGCCTCTTCTTGGAAAAGATTCTGCATCGAAAACAGCGCCCTCGGGGAATATACTACTGAGCCCCCTCCGTCGCTATCGCAATGTCGTGCGCCGGCTCACAGAGGGTGGCATCATAGCGCTGCTCGGCGAATTCGTCACCACCAACTCACACGTGGCACCTATATACCAAAAATGGCACAAGGGTATGACTATTGAGTGATTGGCTTGCAGATTTAACTGACTCCTTGTAGACTTTCAGCTATTTCTCGGCCTTGCTGCCACGCTCGCCGCCGTGTACCCTATTCGAGTCTTACTCTGGTCCTATCGCAAACGAAGCCCCGCGCGATGGTTACCAATCACAATACCCGCCAATTTCGACCCTGCGCCGTTATTATACCCGCCAGCTATAACAATTCTGGTTTCCCTCCTTATTTCTGTTGACAATGTGACCGTGCTTCTGTCCAACCTGGTTCTCAGCATCGGCGCCCTCCCGCAGCAGCTCTTCCCCAAACTCGAGTACACGGCATCCTACGACACACTGCAGTGGGCAGTGACATGCCTCCCCCTGCTCTGGGGAAAGGACTCTGGGAGCCATCTTCACCAAGACTCTACCAATTTGCCCTTGTCGCCAGAAGCTATTGTGTTGCTGTATCCTTTGCACAGAACACTTTCCTTAGTGCTGCATGGCCTGACCACCACGAGCCTGCTTGTAGCCGAGCTGCAGCTGCTCTCCATTGCTCTTATCAACGTCCTGATACTTGGCACTTCGCCGCAAATACAAATTCTCAAAGCGCTGCTTTGGGGGGGCGGCCTCGGCATTCTCGTCCTTTGCGGCGCAGTAATTCAATGGGGCATTGCTCTGGCTCGCGTGCCCAAGTGGCGCTTTCGAAGACTGCCCAGCAGCCAAAGATCGCCCATCTGGAAGTCCCTACTACGACTGCTTTCGCTGCGGCGGCTACGAGCCGAGCTCCGCGGCTTGCAACCCGAGGATCTGGCCTACTCGACGGCGTACTCTACTGAAGACGAGGCCGAGAGCGGACCGGCCTTTCGCACACCGGCTAGAACCCGAACTTTAGGCCCGGTATCGACATCCCTTGGCACCGAGACCAGCACGGCCATGACTTTTACAGATTACGACGAAGATGGCATTGAGGGCATCTCGCGAAGACACACTCTGCCACCGCTAGACAAGCCAGCGCGCCGCGCCAGCGCTCATACACCATCTGGTCGCCGCAAACGTGCCACCTCGCTCTCTGTGCGGCCGTTTCTGAAACTCACTTACGAGCAGGCTACAGTTCGCAAGTGGGCGTACGCCGCCTATGTATACGTCTGTATTATATTGCTCATTCTGGTCGGTGTCCGCACCTACGTCGCGCGCTATGCACTGTCCGGCCAAGAACCCATCGGCTGGGCCCTGGGCTACCTTTTTGGCGACATCCCCTGGTTCCGCCTGCAGGTCGTGAAGGCGAATTTGGAACGCTGGATCTGCTTGCCCCCGCACCACGCCCACAAGCCCGACGCGGCCGTCGCCGGCCTCGGCTGGGTCGAGACGCTGCGCTTGCAGCACCTTGGCGCCGCTACGACACGCCTCACCCTCAGCGGTTACTGGCTCGCTGTCCTCCTCGCCGGCCTTCTCGTTGTCTTTCAACTCCAGCACACGTACGAGGTCGATACGCGCCGCAAGGTGTTTCACTTTACCATGGTCGGCATGTTCCTGCCTGCGCTTTACGTGGACCCGACCTACGCCGCGCTCGCGCTCTCGCTCGTCCTCGCCGTCTTTTTGCTCCTTGATCTCCTACGTGCCAGCCAGCTGCCGCCACTCTCTAAGCCCATTGCCGCCTTTCTCGCGCCCTACGTCGATGGCCGCGACTTTCGAGGGCCCGTCGTCGTTTCCCATATCTTCCTGCTCGTCGGCTGCGCCATTCCCCTCTGGCTGGGCCTCGCGGCTGTCGGCCGTGGCGGCGATGGCTGCGCCGCCGGCTGGGAGGTGCCGACGCGCGACGCGAGCCTGGTGGCCGGCGTCGTCTGCGTCGGCTTGGGTGATGCCGCTGCCAGCCTCATCGGACGCCGCTATGGGCATCGCAAGTGGCTCTGGGGCGGCGGCAAGAGCCTCGAAGGCAGCGTGGCGTTTGCGGCGGCTGTCTTTGCGGGGCTGAGCTTTGCGAGTGCGTGGCTGCGGATTGGGTCCTGGCCGACGGCCGACGAGCCGCTGTCGGCGCTGGCGGCGGCGTGGCATGCGGGCGTCTGCGCGTCGCTGTCGAGTGTGACGGAGGCGGTCCTGACAGGAGGCAATGACAATGTAATTGTACCTGTTGTCTTGTGGACATGTGTAAAGAGTCTGGGGGTATGAAGGTCGGCATCTATGAGCAAGAAAAGAATGGTGGCATCCTTGTACTATCATAGCTATTATCACTATTACATGAGCGTATAGACGTATATAGTACAAGCGGCATTAGCGCAGCGATTTAATATGTTAATGACGACAAAGTCTACAGAATCTTTTCTGATGCACCTCTGCGTGTAAATATGCCTTCCAGAAACGCCAGTATATGTAAACATGTTTCGGCTCCTTATGCCATGAGATCTTCCAAAATAGCCTCGAGCTCTTCGCGTCCAAACGGCAGACTGAGCAACTCTGTACCCAGTGCATCTTTGCGACTAGTGATGATTTGATGATCGTGAAATCTGCAAAAAAAACGGCATTAGCATGATTTCAGAAACAGACGGGGCGCAAAAGAAGAAAAAACATACTCTTTCAGTAGTGTACGAAACGCCATCTCGGAACTACACACAAACTCCTCAACGGCCTTGTTGTACACCATTCTATACTCGACACCCGCCGCCCCGTCCTCGCGCCCCGCGGCATCCTCATCCATGGCGACGAGCACCTCGCCGACGAGCAGCCGAAACAGGTTGCGCGCATTTTCGGGCAGACTCTTGAGCACAAACGCGACGCCCTCGCGGCCGTGCACGCGGTGCGCTTTCCGCCCGAGCAGCTCGTGCACCTCATCAACAGGGTCGAGCTCGACGCCGCCCGCGAGCGGCGCAAACGTCGTGGCGTCGTGGAAGACAAAGGAAAACGCGGACCGCGCGCCCACGTCCCAGAGCAGCGGGAAATCGGGCGCGTCGGCGGAGCAGACGAGGTGCACGGCTGGGTGCGCGGCGAGGCAGGCGAGCACGGCGTACGAGGACGGCGAGGAGCGGCGGAGGGCGGAGGCGTCGATGGAGTGCACGAGAATGGTGAGGGTGGCGGAGGAGGAGGAGGGGGAGGAGGAGGTGAGGTGGGCGAGAATGGACCGCGCCGTGGCGAGGGGCTGCTGCGCCGAGGGCAGGCTCTTCTTCTTGGTGGGCGGCAGGACGGCGCGCGCGATGCAGGCCAGGATCTCGCGGATATTGGTCGTCGGCGCGTAGCCGTTGACGACGACAATGGGGCTCTCGGGCACCAGATCGTGCAGGTACGCGGCGAAGCGCTTCAGCAGCGCCCGCTTCGACCCGTAGCCGTACAGGCACAGGCTAAAGCCCTGCGCGAGCTCCAGCGCCCACTGCGCAAACGACTCTGCGTGCAGCGTCTCGAGGTACTCGACATCCTTGGCGTGGCGCTGCGTGATGGTGGCAGCGCCCTTTCCGCGCAATATGTCAAAGTACTCGTCATGCGTGAGGAGTCTCAGCCCCGCGAGCGTATTGTCCGACGTCTTGGGCCGGCCGGGCTTGTTGTGGAAAAAGTACATTTCCTGCGGCGGGAGGTCGCGCGGGGGCGTCGGCGACTTGGCGCGTTTCCGCGGGCGGCGCTGCTTCTGCTTTGTTGGTGTGGTTGCGGTAGCGGCGGCGACGTCGACATCGGGAAGTAGACCATCGTCCTCGTCCTCGTCTGACGTGTCTCCAAAGATGGCCCGCGCGAGGTCTTCCTCCTGGTCGTCCTCGACGCCGGCGTCGTCATCGCTGAGGCCGTCGCCGGTCGCGTGCTCGAGGAGCGCGCGGGCCGTCTTGCGCCGCGCGGAGCGATCGGCAGCGTGGCGACCTGGCGTCGAGGCGTTGGGCCCGACGGCTTTGAGCGGCGTGAGATGGGCCGTCGTGGTGGTGGTGGTGTTGCGCGCAGAGGTGGAGGGCGTGGCGGGTGATTTTGTCGGTGTGTGTTTCGGTGGACGGCCGCGTTTTCGGGGCGTGACGACAGGCGTCGATTCGTAGACGACTTCAGACGCCGCTTCGTCTGTGGTTTGGGTATCCATGGCCGGGTCGAAGCCATTTACGGGAATGCCCTCGGAGGTGGAGAGCATGGTTGCGTCGAGAGATGCGGCGCTTCGTTGGCGCTTTGTGGGCGGGCCCTCGTCGCGGTCATGGCCGGCATAGTCCATCTTCCCTTTTTCTTTGAACGACTTTTGCTGGTGGCAGGTTTCTCAGCCTCTGCAGGCGTGCCAATTCGAGCTGGGTTGACGGTGGTGCATGAATCACGTTGGAGTTTGCTAGCTGCCAGGAGCTTCATGCAAGTTTCCTGGTGGAGCGCGTCGAGACGCGTTCCGCGTAAAGTGGTTTCCTTTTTCTGCCTGTACGGCAGCCGAGAACGCAAATCGGCTCAAGTATGCGTCAACTAGCCAGTACTTGATTTACGAATTGGCTTTATTTCATTTGCACATTATTGCTTTAGAAGGTCATCCCAGATTGATTGTATTATTGTCACTCGAGAACGTGATATTCTCCCCTGCCTTCAACCGGCGCTACCAACCTTTTTTTTTTTTGCCCGTGTGGCCGACCACTTACACACGGAACTAGTAATTAAGCAAATCCAGACCATGACTCGATTTTTCCTTTTGGTTGTTGATGATTGACTGACTACTGATTGACTGCTGATTGACTGACTGCTGATTCACTGGCTGCGATTTGACTGACTTGCTGCTAATTGACTGACTGCTGATTAACTGGTTGCTGATTGACTCATTGTAAATCAGCGCAAGTATCTCTCTCTTGTGCGCCGGATTTTCCGATCCCTGCAATCACAATACCAGTGATACGACCATCCAAGGCCCAGACGCATGATCCCGAGTCCCCAGGCTTCGAGAAAACAGAGTGCCGTGATGTAATAGCCGGCCACACCTCACTAGGTTCGAGGGCACTGATACCGTCAGTGTAAGCTCAAAGGTGCTGTGAGCAGGAAGCTCAAATCAAATTCCAACACGACACCAGTCAATGGCGGTCCAAGGAAAGCCTTGTAGGGCGTGAGACCAGACTTAGGACCAAGCTTTCCTACTAGTGTAGCAGGCGCGTCATCATACTAGACTCGCGAATCTCACAATGGATATCCATGAATCCACAGCTTTCGATGATAGCTTTGCATCAATGAACAGCTTCGCTAGCATCCAAAAGGGACACTAGGTTCGGGGGCACTGATACCATCAGTGTAAGCTCAAAGGTGCTGTGAGCAGTAAGTTCAAGTTGAATTCCAACACGACACCAGTCAATTGCGCTCCAAACACGAAGAGGCCCTTCAGGGTGATGCCATAAATCAGAAATCGGGTGGGCGCCGGGGGGGGGGGCGTAGGTGTCGGGAATAAACAGGGTCAAAATCGGTTTACGCGGAGGGAGGTATTCCTCCGTGCATTTCTGTCTAGGGCTGGGTAGAGCTCCTAGCGAGTAGGTGTGGTCTATTAGGCAGCCCAGAGTAATAGCCATATTGCTCTTCTTCGGTCGGGTATACTTAATCCATCTAGGATTGCTGTGATACCGTGCGAGGAAATTCGAGATAATTAAGCTGAGGTAACATGCCCATCTTATATAGTGATCAATTGTCATTGAGTGAGACAAGATATTGTAAAGCTTTTGTGGCGTGAAGCTGGCTGATGTCAGAGCTTGAGGTGGACTTTGAGTCTTGCTGAGGTTGTAACTTGGACGGCGTCGTTAGAGGCGATCTCAAATGACCAAAGGGAGTCCAGAAAGCATGAGCTTGTTGGCACGTCCATCTGATGTGTGATGGACTATAATCGAGTAGGAAGAGATGAAAGTGATTTTGATGGCGTAAGGCGAGAGGGAAGCCTGTTGATATTCCGGAGACGCATTTGAACGCGGAGACGACGGCGGCTGTTGTGAGGGTGGAGGAATTGAAAATCTTGGCTGATATGTGTGCCCTCAAATATTCGTGTTGATACTGGTACAGACAAGGAGGCAACGGCGGCCGCAGTCCAGATGAGGAGTGTGGAAGGTGGCTTGATGGACTAAATTCGGGGTTAGATGGAGCCGCGTCGAGACTCGACGCTATCCGTATTGACTGCCTGACGAATTGCCTGGTTGACTGGATGTTGACGCCATTGACTGCCTGATTAATCGCCTGGTCGACTGGCTGTTGACGCTGTTGACTGTCTGGCTGACTTGATATTGACACTGTTGGCTGCTAATAATAATTAGACATAGTGACCAGTGTGAGTGACTACCTGGTGATTGACCAGTGAGCAGCCCATTTTTTTTTCAATGATCTCGTTCACTTTATGCTCAATTAATGCTTATAAGCAAAGTCTTCTCCGCAGTCGGATAATAAAATCTAATTAGCTGTTTCAGATGTTTGAAAATAGTATAATAAAAGTTAAAGCTAAATACTCTCCATGCCGAGCCACCACCCGATGCATATGCTAGCGCCACTTTTCATTGCAAGAAGAGTAGAACCGCTTAATCTCTTTATCATTCAATTGAAACGTATTCAGGGAGAGCTTTACGTTTAGGCAGAATAGCTTGTGCGTTTCTCTTTTGTACGTTATCTGTTGTTAGTCAAAGTTGTTGCTATCACTTGGCTACTCAATGACAACCCTTCTCGTGCTCTTATATGATAATATTACAATTACTTTCATTCAAAGCTAGCTCTATCCGTGACAATAAGACCAACTCACGAGCTATGGCGCAGTTCAAGGCATAGAGAAACACGCAAGACGCCCTGTTCCCAACCTTGCCAAAGACGGGCACGCCAGCAAGGCAGCCTACCGTTGTGCCTTGGCACTAGAAATCATCTGACCCTGTCAATGCGATACCAAGTTTGAAGGCTGGGAATAATACATGTACCAATTCTCTGACATGGAATTTAGACTACCGTAGAAGCTCGGGGTCAGGGACGAGGCCGCCAGCATGATCCAGTCCTCCGGGACGTATTCCTCGCCGTCCCCCTCAAGCTCCTTTGTATACCCTTCCTGCGCGGCCTTGCACTCTGGGGACAGATTGTAATCTAGCCCTTCGACGCAGCGCACCAGATTGACCCAGCCCGAGTTCCAAGCGTCCGGGTCATCATCGTTGATAACGCTGCGCAGTGACGCCTCATCCACCTGCACAAAGTGGCTGTGGCGCGACGACATGTATCCAGACCTCGCCGGAGGGTCTGACCTATCCTCGGCGACCCAGGCACGGAAGCGCTCGCGGAGTGCCTCCTTGGACGCGCCTTGGAGAGCCGGGTCGGACACGAACCTCCAGTCGACACCATCTACGACACTGCGCCGCGGCGGCGGCCTCGGCGGCGCGTCGCTACACGGGGACGGTGCGAGGGCCTCGCGCGTCTGCCGCGCGACCAGCTCCTTGAAGCGCTCCCAGGACGCGTCGTCACCGTAGGTGCAGCGGTAGATGACCCAGCCCCATTCCTTCTCGTTGAAGAAGTCGAGCTCATCGGCTATTGACTGCTCGTCTGTCGGATCCTTCAAAGACGACACGAAGCGCTGTTGAGGAAGGGGCGTGGCTGGCTGCAAGGTACATGGCGACGCGATCGCCCTTCTTGTCGAGAGTGTCGACAAGGTGCGGATGGCTGCAGCGAGACTGGATCGACGACCGGAGAATAATACAGTGGAGACAAGGCCTGTTCTAGAGAGTAAGCGCTGGAGCGTGAGAGAAATCATACTCTTGTGAAGAAAGAATGGATAAGAGAGAAGAGAACGTTGAGCTTGTTTTCTGTAGGGAGGTGGGGGTGCTGTCTACGGGCAGTCGTTATGCAAACGAAATTGGGCGTAGGGTGCCGTTTCTGAGCATCAACTTGAACTTGCTATTAAATCGGAAGCAAAGACAAGTTGCTTAATATTGATGAAACCTGATTTCAAAAATAATTGCAAAGAGTTAATAGTAGCCTCATGGGCCCTGGTTGCGGTCACGCGTCAATGAAAGTACTCGGGTCGATTTCATCGATAGACTAGATACGCTGCGCACCATCGCACCAAATCATGATGTCAATTGTATGATACTCCAGGGTATGTAACAGCGCCTTGGAACATGTCGCCAGAGGCCGCTCGAAATCTTGACATGCCAACGAACAAGGTTTTCTTGCTAAACAATGTAAACTGAGAAGAGACTCTTGCATGTTGGCGGGGCTGGGAGCTTTTGTGCTAGTATCAGGACTTGACAAGAGCTTACTGGGTGCTGCTGAGCGCAGAGGAAGTTGATTGACCGCCGCTGAACTTGGCATTGCGCCTCATCTGGCCCCGTTCATCGTCAATGAGATGATTCACGAGGACTCGAATGACATGAACCAGGCGTTGAGAGGGAAGCCAACTTGGCCAAGTCTCAGACAGACGAGCTTGTATCAGCCAGCAAAGAGACTAAAAACCGGGGACGAATTGACTGAAGACCACAGTTGACCGAGGCTTGTGGTTCTAGAACTCAACACTTGCCGCATTGAGGCTGCTGGCCCGTCGATCCAAATGAGAGCAGCCGTCGGGCATCAGTCTTCACCGCATCGACTGCGCACCTTTGATAGCGTTTACATCTCGCTTGAATGGCAGTTGCCAAATCTGTCCACTGCTCAACCTCAATATATGGAAGTGGTGTGGAGTTTTTTGCGCACCATTTTTTGACTTGCTGAGCGTTCTGTCGGCAACACAATAGTCACATTGAATTCGGCACAATGCAGTCAAGGAAGATATCACTTTCTTCATAACATCTCTCCCCAAGCCCGAATGGTACAAAAACGTACCCTGACAGACACAAATTAATTCCGGCTCACCTTGCGACTCGGGAAGAAAATTGCAGAGTAGCATTTTACTTTTACATGAGAATAGGTCAATTTGTCGAGAAGCGATGGCCCGGGCTTGCATGCTGCATCAATCAGTATGCATAATCCCGAGACTAGCCATAAGCGGCCCGGGCAACAATAACATTGAGGGTATAATATAGTCACATAATATACTGATTTGGGGTGGGATGATGTGAAACCTTCCAGATTTGACAGCTCAAAGGGGAGACCATCGGAGCTCGCCTACGCTTCATGCCTCCAAGGTGAAAGGTCTGCATGTGCCATCGAGTCCTCACAAAGACGCAGTATTGGTTGAAGCAGTAAATTAAAGGTGCTTGGCCAAACGAGGCTGCAAACCCAACATTCAGGAGAAGTTCCGTTCCCTGGTTCGCATCTGTGCCTGTGGCTTTTCGCCCTGTTTGATGCAGACAACGGACGCCTTGCGTTTCGGTAATTGTATGAGCCCGGAGCCTACCTTCCTGATTCGATGGTCAAGTCCGAGCGCAACAAAAGCCTAAAGACCTGCAAGACATCACCAATCGCGTGCAGAGATCGACTAACATGGCCTCGTCCCACACAAAAGTTATTGGCTGGGACTTGGAGGGGTTGCAAAAAAAAAAATTGCGAAACAGGGTGGAAACCGGGCGGCAGCTGTCACGTTTGGCATATATGAAGCCAAGCCCATTATGACATTCCTATTAATAGGCCGACTCAAACGCATGATCCTTATCCGCTTTTTTTTTCTACGTCTCCTTCCTAAAGGAGGCATGTGCCGTTGCTCCCCGGGGCAGACTTGCGATTAAAGACGGTTTTAAGCATATCAGTCACTAGTTATTGGTGCCGATCGCTCCTACAAATTGCGGAGGGGGGACAACTGTTATAAGCTTGCTCTGTTTTAATATAAAGAAATCACTCGGTGGTCTCGCGAAACAGATTAGGGCAAATCAGGAAGGAGAATTTCAGATATGGTCATTGCAACACCATGTTTATTTGCCGAGTCTCGGAATGTGGTTTTGACACTGGATAGATGGTTGTCTGGATTAGGCAGTTGCACAATTACTTCCAACTACATGGATGAAGTGTACCAATTGCATTGCAACAATGTGCCATTCCTGTCTATACCCGTACAAGGCGGTATACTATTGTATCGTAAAGCACAGTGCTAAGCGGGGATCAAGGAGTATCATGGGCTGAAGAAAGAATATAAGTATCCTCGTCTATCCTGACAATTGGTATCAGCATCCAACTCTTCATTCACTTCTTCCAAGACAGCAGGTCAAAAACATTCCTTTTATTTCCCAAAAGCTTTCTGTCATTATCTGGATTTCCAGCATGGAACTTGCCAAGTTTCTCGCCCTTTTGGCCGTCGTCCTCCCCGTTACCTACGGCGCGCCAACGCAGGCCGCCGCCACCGGCGAGCTCCATCCCAAGATTCTCGAGGCCATGAAGCGCGACCTCGGACTCGACGCCGACCAGGCCCACGCTCGCGTGGCCCGCGAAGCCGCCGCCGCCAACGTCATTGAGCAGATGCGCGGCTCGGCGGGCGAGTCCTTTGCCGGTGCCTGGTTCGACGCCGACACGCTGCACATTGGCGTCACGGACGAGGCCCTGGCCGGCGAGGTGACGGCCGCGGGCGCCACGCCCATTGTCATGACCAACAGCCTGTCCAAGCTCGAAAAGGCCAAGGCGGATCTCGACAAGGTCTTTATCCCGCAGGCCAACACCTTGAGCGGCGGGTCCGCTTCGGGTTCTGGTTCTGGTTCTTCTTCTTCGGCCGCTGGCGGCTCTTCTTCGGCCGCTGGCCCCGGCATTGCGTCGTTTTTCGTCGACGTTGCCTCCAACAGGCTCGTCATTGAGGCGATCGGCGACAACCACGGCCGGGCCGAGGAGCTGGCTGCGCAGATTGGCCTCGCCTCGGGCGAGTACGAGGTGCGCACGGTCGAGGAGCTGCCGACCCTGTATGCTGCTGCCTCTGTGCAGGGCGGCGACAACTACTTCATCGACAATGCCTCGCGCTGCTCCGTCGGCTTCGCCGTGACGACCGGCTTCGTCTCCGCGGGCCACTGCGGCCAGACGGGCTCGTCGGCGACGACGCCGCGCGGCCAGCCGCTGGGCACCTTTGCGGGCTCCGTGTTCCCCGGCAGCGCCGACATGAGCTACGTGCGCACCGTAAGTGGCACCGGCCTCAACGGCTCCATCAACGGCTACGGGCAGGGCAACTTACCCGTCTCAGGCAGCAACGTGGCCGCCGTCGGGGCCAGCGTCTGCCGCTCCGGCGCCACCACCCAGGTGCACTGCGGCACGATTCGCGCCCGCGGCGCCACCATCAACTACCAGGAAGGGTCCGTCACCGGCCTCACCCAGACGACCGTCTGCGCCGAGCAGGGCGACTCGGGCGGCTCCTTTTACGCAGGATCACAGGCGCAGGGCGTCACCTCGGGAGGCAACGGCAACTGCCGCACGGGAGGAATCACCTATTTCCAGCCCGTCAATGAAATTCTCGAAACTTTTGGCCTTACCCTGGTCACGGGATAAGTAGGGGTAGCTATTTGGCTACGGAGATTTGAGGTTTGCGAGAAGTTTGCATATGCAGGGCCAAGTGTAGTAGTGAGATCTCAGGCATGGTCTTTGCTCGCTTTCGTCAACTACTAGGTCTGACGGGTATCAACAGAATTTGGGCTGGCTCATTTTATGGACATATTTTTTTCAAGTTTAATATTAGCAATAGTAAACAAGAATCCTCGACATTGGTCATTATTCGTAGTTTTGTGCTGCATAATTCTCGTGTCCATTTCATGCTGTGATATAGGGGTAATCGCTCATTAAAAAGTGTGGCGCGTCCATTTCTTGAGTGCATAATCAAACACTTTGCTTGACCTGCCCACCCAATCATCCAGAAAATATCTAACATGGTAATCTCACTCAGAAACAGCAAAAGCCAAATCAATTCAGCCGGACTCCCACGGTGCTCAGTATGTATTGTAGACGCTCCGGCTCCGACTTGACCTCCGTCCTCCCGATCGTTCCTGTCTCACAACCACCGGGGGCGGCGGCAGCGTGATGCTAGACGAGCGCGAGCGCGGACGGCGGCTGCGAGGCCGTCGGTGGTGATGGCGATGGTAATGCTTTGGCTCCGAGTGGCGGCCATACCAGGGCTCAACCTCTGGCGTGGGTGAAGGTCCGCCCAGGTTGAAGCAAGAGCGGATGATCCAGACGAGGAGGAGAAATCCGACAATGGAGCCAATGACAATGCCTGCAATTGCGCCGCCATCCAGTGTTGAGCCTCCACCGTTGCCGTTATTGGGGTTGCTTGTGACGGTGACTGTGGTGGTAGCAGTGGAGGCTTGTCGTGGTTGTAGCGGAACGGTCCGCGATGGCGGCAGGAACGGGGCCATTGTGAGGGAAAAAATGATTTGCAATTGTTTGGTATTAGTTGGAAAGCCAAAATAGACTTTTTTTTTTTCCCCTCGTCTGCTGCTCTTATTTATAGTCCTCTAAGAAACCTGCGAAATGTAGTATTACATCACTACTATGTCGTCGACTGCGGCCACGAAGATCTTAAAGTGGACTAACGTCTCCAAGTGGCTTTTTGCAATATCCCATGTGCATATGGGGGCATTGTTCCTTGATGACGGCATTTGTGCGTAGGCCAAAGCCTGATGTGCAGTTTATGCATTTCATGCAAGTGAAAAAAGGTTGGCATTCCTTCCAAACAGGCGGGGTCGGAGCATTCTCGCTCACACGCTCCGGGCTCTGGAAAAACATTCGGCAAATTGAGCGGTAGCCAACAAGTAAGTGCTAGATGTCGGTAAGAAAAATCAATTCATGAATTTGATAAAAGGCGCTGCTCAGATAAGTTCCACATGGCGAATTGCAGCAAATCCCTCCCCTCTAAAAAAAACGCCCATCTAATCAGTCCAGCTCAGCAAGCCCTTTTCCGTCAACCCCAGCTCATCGTCCATCTTTCTCCAAACCCTGAGCCGAGCATCCGGATCCTGCGCATGCGGCATATTCCTCGCCTCCCAGATGCGGTTAAAGTAGCGCCCGCCGCCCTTGCCGCCCTTTTCCCCGACGCCCTGCGTACTCGGATCCGGCCCGCCGTCGACGCTCGTGGCCGCGTGGATGATGCAGTACGAGCCCTGCTTGGGGCTAATGGCAAACAGGTTCGCAAAGAGCTGCAGCACAAAACTAACAACGACGCTGACCCAGCCGAGAAAGCCGTCGCCGCTCTTGAAGGACCAGATGCCGCTGTTGACGTAGCCCGGGTGCACGCCGTTGATGGTGACGTGGCGGTACTTTTCCGTCTGCAGCAGCCGCGCGTGCATCTCGGTCAGCCAGCACTGAAAGTAGAGCTTGTTGTTATTATACATTTGCACGCCCTGGCAGCCCGCGCCGTTGAAGTTGTCGAGGTCGTAGACGCCAATGTACGTCATGCACGACGTGGTGCAGACGACGCGCGGCGCCTCGGCGCGCGCCAGCGACGGCAGCAGCCGCAGCGTCAGCAGCACGTGCGACAAAAAGTTGACCTGGTGCACGAGCTCGAAGCCGTCCTCGCTGCGCGCGTGCTTGGTCAGGCCGCCCGGGTTGGTGCCCATGCCGGCATTGTTGCAGAGAATGTCGAGCGCGCGGCCCGTGTCCAGCCAGCGCCGCGCAAACGCGTCGACGCTCTGCAGCCTGCCCATGTCAATCTCCCACCACTCGACGCTGCTCTTGTCGTGGCCGGCCGCCCGCGCGACCGCCTTGCAGTGGTCCGCGACCGCACCCGGGTGCTTCTCGGCAGGGCTGACGCGGCAGGCAAGCACCAGGTTGGCGCCGCACTGGGCAAAGTGCAGCGCCGCCTGCTCGCCGATGCCGCTGTTGGCGCCCGAGATGACGATCCAGCGGCCGCTCAGGTTCTTGGCCGGAACGTCCTGCTCGGTGAGCGTCTTGCCGGCGGTGCCCTCCCAGAAGCACTTGTAGCGGCGCCAGAGCCAGGTCGGCTCCGTAAAGGAGAGCGGTGCGTTGTAGGGGACGTTTTGGTACGGTGAAGGCGCCATTTTTCTTTTTTCTTTTTCCTATTTTTTTTCCTTTCTCCTCTTTTCGATCAATTGAATAGTGTATAGAAAAAGAGCAACAAGGTTCAAGTATCGCACGCAAGTTTCTTGTCGAGTGTATTTGTAGAAAACGGATCTCGGGTAAACTTTCGTTTCACGACCCCGTGCCCCCCCCCCCCCCNCCGCGCGCGC